AGCCGCCTACGCACGGCAAGGTGCGGCCGGGGCCGGGGCGGGGGGCGAAGAGCAGCGGGGAATGACCGTGTCGTGCTCCTCGAGGGCGGCTGCGCCACTCCTGGGAAACCAGGAGCCGGGGCCGGATCCGCCCCGTGGACGCTGCCGTCCGGGATACCCGGTCCCTGCTTCCACATCCCCGTGCGGGCCCAGTCCTGCGGTGGGCTGCGCACCGCGGGGCCGGGGCCGGGGCCGGGGCACAGGGCTGGTCCCAGGCTGGGGTGAGGCCTGGGCCCGACTACTCCGCGTGGGACCGACGGCGTGGGCGGCTCTGTTTGAAGCTGAGGTTTCATCACGTGACGCAGTGCATTAATGACTGCTCTGCTGTACCGCGCTCAGGAAGGCAAATGTACCATTGCATTTTAAAAACTCACTGGACTACTGTATACATTAGATTCACCATTTAATATTTATTTTAATGAATGCCGTGTTATTTATCTCCCAGGTGACTCTTAGCAGTCTCTTGGAGATGTATATCTGGCTCTTGGAGACTGCAGGGCAATCCTGGAGGGTTGGCCACTCTAGGGTCCGAACGTGGGAGGCCAGAAGGTGGGTGCCCTGCACGGAGATGGGCAGTGGCTAGCACAGGATATGCAGTCACATGAGATGCTGCAAACCATCTGTCAGGTCATCAGCTCCGGGGCATGCATACCCCTAGGGGTACTTAGAGAGGTCATAGAGGATACTCACGGGCAGGTGAGGACGGAGCGCGCCCCAGGGCACAGCAGGGGCATCCCCTCCAGCGCGCTCCCACATGTTACCTCTTACCTGAGGGACCGAGTGGCCCCACACACGCCGCAGCACCTCACCCCAGCGCACTCTCCTGATTGGCTGCCACCCTCAGCCAATAGCTGATGGCAAGAAAGTGCCGTGGACACCCCCTGCCTGCAGAGCTGCAAGGCACAAAGGGCCTGAATGGCGGGGGTGTGGGGAAGTGTGTTTCTGTGCCTGCTCCCAGGGGCAGGGCTAGGGCGGGAGGGCAAGGGCAGCAGCGCCTCTGATGGATGCGCGCAGGGCTGTCCTTTGGGTAGGGCGAATCAGGGGTGACGGCCCCAGGCCTCATGCTTGGGGGCGGGGCCCCACAGAGCTGGGCAGAATGGCCACAGCCCCTCCCACGGGGCCTGCCTGGAGCTGGCAGCTCAGCCCCACGCCACAGAAGAAGTATCTAGCTGCTTGCCACCCCGCTATCCTCCCGCAGCACGTCACCAGCTTTGCATCTGCTGAAGAGCGGCTCGTCGGGGCACATGAGATCTGCTTGGCCCCTGGGCACCAAATTTCATTGCCTTTGTGGGGGTCCCATGACGCCATGCCATGTTAAAGGGGCCCCACACAGGCTGATTTGCCCTGGGCCCTGCATCCCCTAGGTTTGGCTCAATGTGGGGCGGGGGCACTTGCATGCGGTGGCCACCATCCCACGCCGCCACCTCCCAGGAGCAGGGCCAGAGAGGGCAAGGGCAGCGGTACACATCTGCGGGCCGCACAGGTGCAGCCTGGCTGGCCGGACACAGGGGATGGGGGAGCTCACACGCCACTGCCACCCACCACCACACGCCACTGCCATGCGCAGCTTTTCTATGGACGTGTGGCTCCATGGGGTGCTGACAGGAGGTGCACGATTGGCTGGGCGCAAGGCCTATCAGCAGCCCTCAGAGCCACATGTCCGACTGGCTGTGGGAGAGCTGGGCACAGTGGCAACACTGGGT